TATATATATATGTATATGTACATATTCATATTTATATTATTGCTTGCCTGTCATGGCAATGTGTCCAAACGCCCGAGTCCTTTGCGAGCATGCGCTTGAAACCCCTCAAGCATATTCTTACAAGGTACCAAGAAACCTTCTACGAATAGCCAACAGGTGATCTTCTCTCGGTTGCTTTCTGCTCCCCTGCTAAAAGTTTAACTTTTAGTGGTTTAATGGAAAACCCATTAGTTGGCAAAAAGTTAAAGTCCTAACATCCAAGCAAACTGCACCAAAGTGTTCTTTCAAGCAACTTTTTGTGAAACAACGAAGCAAGGCTGGCAAATTCGGCAAGGGGCACATTGCTGTCGCTGCATCCCCGCTCCCAACACCTGACCCGCCCCTTCCGCAGCCCCTGCTTCCTTGGCCGGACCCACAAAAGGACACATTTTGCGTTTACCGCCTTCTGCAAACTAACATGGAGCCCCAAAAAAAGGTGCCCCCAACAAGCAGGCTCCTCTACAAATGATGGTTGCTTGGGTTCCACGTTCATCAGGGTAGAATGGAACAAAAGAGTGGATGGGCCAACAAAAAGTCTGAACCTTTTATGTACCACCAAAATGGTCCAAACCCAAAAAGTGACTAAAGCCCATGAACTCAGGGAGTGCCACCATAAAGCAAGCGGTCAGCAGAAGCGCCTCTGGCACTCTGGTTCTACACGGCGGAGCTTCTGCCTAACATGATGAGTTGACTAGGGCGTGGGTTGGTGGGTACCGGGAGGTTCCGAGACTGACCCCGAAAAAAGGATGGGCTCAGAACGAGACTCCAAAATATGATCAGAAGGAGTCTTGCCCAACATATGATATCATGGTCACTACCCAAAATATAATGGGGTCACCAACCATGGCTAAGAGCTCAGAAGGAGACTCCAGGTACCGTTGCAAGAATCAAATTAGATTCTTGGTTCAGGCCCAGAACAAAAGAAAGAAAGCAAAACAATCCAGGAAATCCAGGAAGAAAGTGGGGGGAGGTTGTCAAAGCACCAACCTTCGAAGACCGCAATCATAGAAGTGGACAGGAGGGCGAAGGCACTTTCAGCTTGGGTTGTTAGGCAAACCAAAAGGCAAAAACAACACCTTTGACACATACCCACATGGGTCAGACCTACAGTCGCCGCAGTCGCTACAGTCGCTACAGTCGCTACAGGGCCCAGTGCTTCCGGCGTTTGGCCTACACCTGGACCCTCCAAAATTGGAACTCAAAAATGGGAAATCTTCCAAGCGAATCTTGTGGAATGGGTGCCTTTTGTAAAATGTTTCTTTCTGGGAAGCACTGGTTCTCAAAGATTGGAGCCTTGGGATCCGGCAATTGGATTTGAATCTAGTCAGCTCCTTTCGGGTCCAGGATCACACGGGGGTTGATCTTCAAAAGGTCCTTGGCACTGGAGGACCATTGGTCGGAAAACCACCACCAGACTCGATATGTCGATCTGTCCGGGGGGCCGAAGCTCACGTCCACAGCGGATGGGAACTCCGGCTTCTCCCCGGTCCAAGTCCCCGCTCTTCCATTCTCTCACTGCCTGAGTTCCGGGACTCACTGGTCACTTTTTGTGGCCTGGGAAGGCCCGTTTAGTGGAAAACACACACTTCGACCACGCTTTTCTTAAGTCTTGAACCCCCCGATTCATGGGAAGAGTTCGAAAAGGTCTCAAAACTGCGGGCCCTAAATGGAATATCTGCGTGGCTGTACTCATGGTTGTCCTATGTAAAGGACCTTTTGATCCACCTGGAGTCTGCGAATCTGACCCGAATCAAAAATTGTGGGTCATAACCCGCAACTAGTTTTGGGTAATGACCCGGCCCATCCAATTTTTTCAGGGTCGTCCAGGGCAACCACCTGGGTTCTCCGAATCTGACCCGAATCAAAACTGGGGTGGGTCATAACCCCAACTAATTTTGGGCAAGGCCCAACCATATGTCAGCTTTGGAGGCTCCAGGAACCCCCCAAACCTCTGCACCCGCCTGGGTCGCGCAGCTCCCGGGCTTCCACCTGGAATCGCCTGAGGGCCGAGGAGGCTGGAAGTAGGACCCCAGCATTTTCGGTTGCTGGTGGGTGGAAAACAAGGGGGACCCCAAAAAAGAAAAAAAAAATTAACAAAATAAAACGTACAAGAATGCTTCAAGAAGGGGAGAAGGAGGGGTGGGGGACCCCAAAAAGGAGAAAAAAAACAAGAAGGGGAGAAGGAAGGGGGTCGGGGAGTCCAGGTCCCACTTCCATTTCTCCTGGAGTCTCCCTCTGAGCCTTGAAAAATGGCTATGGTCACCCCAAAATTCAGAGACCTTTTTCTAGGGGTCATGGAGACTCTAGATAGTCCCCCCATTTGCCAGGCTGAAACGAGAGAGAACAAACAAGAAACAGAACAGAACAGAACTTGGATGTTCGTTGCCAGGGAAGTAAGTGGAACAGACCACCTCGGTTTAGCCACCTCCCTAACCAGGTGAACTCCACATTCACGTGGGGCGATTCTAACCTAGCTGAATTACCAACAACTGACTAACTTGGCGAATCAAACACCCAAGTAGCGACAGAGCGGGGTGTACGGTGGGTTAAGGGTGCGCTTCGGCTGGGTTCAAAGTTGGCTTGAGCGGGTTGGGCGAGTTGGGCCCTTCCCCAAAAGCGAATGGAACTGAGCCAACAACAACAAACACGATAACAAAAACGCCTTTTGTTGAATACACAAACATAACTAACACACCAGGCAACAATCAAAATGGGCCCGTGTCCAAAAAGCAAACCACCGGATGAGCAAGGGTGCTACACTGGGACACTACTCCCGTTGGTCGGCATTTCCTCCGCGGCGTATGAGCCCCCGGGCGGAATCGTGAGCTTCTCCTCCGAGGAAGACGAAGCTGCCTGCGAGCCATGTGCTTAGCGCGTGGGGAAGTCAAAGCTCCCAATTTGTGGGGCAAGGTCCCCCTAGGAACATTTGCATGTCTAACCCCCGAATACCGGGCTGGTCAAAATGGAGGCTTGGCCAATAATTCCTATGGGGAAGCCACTACAAAAGAAAACCCCTTGGATAACCCCAGGCAAGGATCGAGGATTACCTTTGAACCGCCCAGCCTAAGACCATCTACCAACCGCAAGTAACGGGGTCTGTTCACATGAGTATTTTAGAAAAGCGTGTTTTGGACAGTGTTTGCATAGCCGAACATGCGCACAACTATGTGTGTGTGTGTGTGCATTTATACTGTGCACATATATACATACTATAGGTGCGTATGTGTTGGTCTACACATAGTTTACGCATTCATCTACAAACACGAGCCACTGCCAAAAACCGGTATTCACATGGTCTGCCCACAACCATAGGCGGACTGGGATTGTCCCAGTCCGCCTCCAATTACCCGGGTTGACTGCGGTTCACATGTATAACGCTTCATTCGTCTGCGGTTGCAACGCCCGCGGAGTCGACTTCTGCCTGTGTTGCGACTTCTGCCTCCACTCCCTCCTCGACCTGGCGCTGCGAGACCCGGCCACCCAGCACTGGGAATGAGCTATAAAGACACAAGGCCGCAACATTTCTGGGCTGTCCGGTAGATCCCCTGCTAAAAAGCCAAAGGAGGGCTGGGAACCAAGATGGGGGGTCTTAGGCATATCATATTTACCTGGAGTCTCCATGACCCTTCCAAAATGGGATCATTACCCAAAATTAAGGGGTCATGACCCCATTTTTTTGGGTCGTGGAGACTCCAGGTAGGGCCTTTTCTCCATCAAGCAATGCTGAAAATTGGGTGATTCCAACCGCCCGAACGAGCTCAAGGCTCTGATCATATCGAGCCTTTGGTAGGCTTAATTCGGAAGTACGCCCAAGAGGGTCTTCACACCCTCACTGCAAATCTGTGCCTGGAGTCTCCTTCTGACCTTTAACACATAGTTGGCAATGACCCCCTTTATTTTGGGTCCTGGTCGTCCCAAACCCCAGCTACCCGAAACTAAAAGGCAAACCACCACCCTGGGGTTCGGTGGCCTTAAAAAGCAAGGCCGGCCGTGGAATGTGGGGAACGTTGGACGCTTTGAATTGGGTTGACCGTTTTGTTTTGGCCGCATTAGTGGGCCACATGGCTGTGTAGCGCTTGTGGCCGAAACATAGGCTTTCCAAAGCCTCGCGAAAACCATGTAGACATGTTGAAGCTGTTCAATGCTCAAGGTCTTCGACTTTGTGGGATTTCTAGAAACATTGATCATGGGCTTAGCAATGGGAAATCGACAAGAATGTAAAAATACTGTGAAATTGGCGTGAACGCCTCATTTTTGAGTGAAAGACCGTGAAACGCCGTGAAATTTGGCAGGCGGAAAACTACTCACATTCGTCCTGGCTGGCGTTGTTTGCTGCTGGGTTTGAAAAGGTCCTGCTGAATGGATGTTTCGGGCAAACCATGATTGGTCCATTGATGATGCAGAAATGTGCTGCTTTAATGTTGAGGCCTTCGCAAGTCTAGCTTGGTGTGGAAAAAAACTTTTGCTGACGATGTAAAGTTTGCCTTCCACTGAGGCCCCCATCCCCCAGCTAGTCAAACAAAGGATGTTCATGTAACGGCCTTTGTTTTCAAAGCCTTTTACCCCCCACAAACCACCTAGATTCCTTCTGAGCCTTAAACAATGGGGTCACCCAAAAGAAAGGAGTCACAGCGATCCTTACAGTATACACCTGAACATTGCCTTGTAAATGGTGGTTTCCCTTTATTTTGCTGCAAAAAAACATGTTTCAAATGGTTGCAAAACGTATCTTTTAAGGAGCCCTGAGTCATGACCAAGCATGTTTGCTTCTTGTCAGTAGGAGACGCCAGGATTCGATTCAGCGCGCCTGGTGTTTGGCAAATTGAATGAAGAGTTGCTCGAGGGTGGTCTCGGACACGGAGTACTCGGAGATGCCTTGATTCCCAAAACCCGAAAAATGCCTCGGAAAATCCGAAATCCCCGGTGTTTTCAAAGGGTCGGAAGAAAAACAGGTTCCATCTAGCAAAACGCCTGGCGAGCGTAATGTCGCCGCCGGATCAACCAACCCGTCCTATTAACAGGGGAGCGTTCCCTCCAAAAGTGGTAAACGCCCACTAAAAGAGGACATCCGCAAATTCATCCACCAGCGGTTTGCTAATCCGGGGATCCCATTAATGCAAATTTGAATCGCCAAGGCGCAAAGTGAGTCTTTGTGCTCCTGTCCCGGAGCCCACCCGTGAGAAACCTCGTGGGGCCTTCGTAAAAGCAAACAACTCGCTTCTTGGCTGAAAACCCCGTTTTGAGAGGGGTGTTGGTTCCCTGTGTTGACTGGCTCTACCTGGAACATCCTGGAACCTCCATGACCCTTTAAAGATCGGGTCACCCAAAATAAAAGGACCCCTTCAGGCGGTTGCTTTGGGTGTCCCTTCAAAACCACCCAACATGGGTCCACTTTTGAGACACCTCACTATGCGCGACCAAGGCTTCGGTTTCCTCCAAACATGGATTCATGCCTATCAAGGTGGCGATGAGGACGGATATACGTTGACTAATGCAGAAACCGTTGTACCTGGAGTCTCCATGACCCTTTAAAAGTTCATTCTCCCATTTGTTGTCAACAAGCAAAGTTCTGTCAACCACACATGAATTAGGGTTGCCTGAAGAACGGGTACCTAAACAATCACATACTTTCGAAACCCCATACAAAAAAACAAGTCGGAAGAAGGTCACTGGGTCTGGGCGGTACTCTTGAGGTTGCAACCATGGTTACAACTGGCGTAGCTGGGGTAATCGTCCCCTTAGACCCACGGTTACAACCTCTATCCTTACGTTGGTTGGACATCCAAGTGGCTAAAAAAACAAAACATGCGGTACTTCAGCTGGTCGAACGTCCCAGCAGCTGAGGGAACCCCCTCAACCACTGGGCTCATCGACGTTTGTTTTTTCACTTCCTCGGTTGGAACCCCCTAAGCGCTCGAGCTCGAGCTCGAGATCTCTCGGCTCCTCCACGAGCCGGAAGATGGCGCTGATCTGCTTCTGGCCCTTGGGCAGTCGATACCTGGCTTCGACTTCGATTGAGATCCGACTTCGATTGAGGGGCTGGAAGAATTATCAGTAACTCAAGCAACTGAATGTTTCAAAAGAATTGAGATCAATGGTTCAAGAAGCAATTGAGCTTCATACAAGTGAGATCTGATACATGAGGTGTCAAACAACTTGGCACCTGGGCCTGAAGCCTAAGTCCAACTTCAAAATGGGGTATTGATTGCCCAAAAGCTGGGTGAACTCCCTTTAGTTTGCATAGTACTTGAGGGTTCGGATTCTCGGGAATGATCACCCCCAGTGCTCGCAGTATGGTTGTAACCTATTTGCCGTTCGCTGAACGCCTAAGGGGTTGATTCCTACCTCAGATGCCCAGTGGCCAGGGGAAAAAGAAGGGAACCCTCTTTGGGGAAGACCATTTTCAGTGGGGCCACCAAGAAAAAGGGGAAAAAGGGTGCCACTGAACAACTGAGCTACCATTCTTTTCAACTGTCGTTCTTTTCAATAGCCAAAAGGCCGTTTTTTTTGGTTTCCGGAGGTTTTCTAGAAAGCATCCCTGAACAGAATGGCTGGACGGTAGCGCTAGAAGGCTTATGGCAACAAAACAAAGGCTGCTAGGGCCATTCCAATTTGTTGATGATTTCGCTGACACACACATCAGCTTCTCTCTTGGTGACTTGCATTGGGGGTTTAAGGCAAGGGGACATTCCCACAGATCGTTCCCAACAACATGCGGGGATTCGTTCGCAACCAAAAAAAGGCGGCTAGGAAGCCCAAACCTCCAGTCGACCATAGCACACATGGGGAGCCACAAGTGGTTGATGTTACGCCCAAAGGGTCCGATCCATGTGTCAACTTGCTAAATAAGCTCAGGTGGTATCGAGCCCCGTAACCCCTGGAACCGAACTCCGGCACCCCATCTGGGCAGAGACCCATAGCGTTCAGCTGTTGGGGGGAAAAATATAACAACAAGATGATGACCCAATCAGTCTTATACCAGTGGTTGTTCTTTTGAGTTTTGTTTGTTTTGTCTGTCATAGGAAGTTCAACTGCAACCGCTCCTTGACCTCCGCGGAAGAGACAGGGCTCCCCATGTGCCTTTCTCGTTTCAAAGGAACCCTAGACCCTGAATATCAAAACCCTTCGACCCCAAGACCACAAATGCGGGTTGATCAACATTCCGTTCGGCCCCAAAACGACCATGGCTAACTTTTGCAATGTAGAAAATCATCTTCTTTTGTGGCTTCCCTCTATGTAGAGGACCTTTGGATCAACCCCCAAATGATTGACAAGGTCTTGCGACACTTTGAGGTCTTCCGCGCCGAAGCTGAGCGTCTCGTCCATTCACCCCATGTTTTTGGGCATTTGAGGGTCCAGTGACATTAGAACAGCGGTTTTGTTTTGCATGGATCTAAGTTTTAACCACCCTCAACCATCAACCAAAGTTGAAACTCACTTCAATTGGCTCCAACAAGTTGATGTGAACAGGGATCCTTACATTATACACTTGAACATTGCCTTGTCAATGGTGGCTTCACCGTATTTTGGTGGAAAAAGCCATGTTTGAAATGGGCAACATGTATCTTTGAGGGAGCCCTGGAGTGAAACAAAAACCCGCTGCAAGGGGAATTTTGGACGGGACCCCTTCGACTCACTCGCCTTGCGCGCGGCCGGCTGGACACGTTCTCCTCTTCCCGGACCCCTTCAAACCTCGCAATGCGGCGCGTGATCCCAAGCAGGATACCAAGCTCAGTTGTTCAGTGACCCTGGAAAAAAAGGGAACCCTTTTTGGGGAAGACCATTTTTAGTGGGGCCAACAAAAAGAAGAGAAAAATAGTTGGTGCCACTGAATAACTGAGCAAGAGATTGGGGTACAGGGCTGTACAACCCTTGGCCCCCTGGTACGGAAGCAAAAAGCCTTGCAAAATTTCCAGCCTCCCGCTAAAAACGAACCAACTAACTAAACACCTGGCCAACAACCGTGAAGAGGGCCAAAGTAGTTGCCAGAAAGTCCTTTGTCTGGGTGTCTGTTTATTGAGGGTATTCCTTCTGGAGTGGGTTTAAAGGTGAAACAAGAAGGAACTAGCCTTTTTTTGGGTACGTGTATAACATGCTGGAATCGCGCCTACCTGCACCCAATTGTACGTTCGCCTTGCTGGCGGTTGCTTGTGTTTGAGGTGGGGGCAAGTAGTGCCCCGATGTTTGAGGGGGAGCGTAACGTGGGACCCCAGAACATCACCCGAATAGGGAAATTTGGCCATGGGTCAAAATCCCGTACCCCCAGTGAACATCCCAATCCAACCACTAAAATAGGTTCTAAAATGGGTGGTGCACCGAAAGCCCCAAAATGGGATCCCATTGATTTTGACCCACAGCCATTTGTGACCATTGGTCCAAAAAGTGATGTCTCAACTGGCTGCACAAAGAAGTTGCTTTGGTACCTCTGACCTGACCAAAGGAACATGTTTCCCGCAGGCCCCTACGCAGCTTCTATGCTCATTGGGAGGGTAACATGGGTCTTTTGCGAAATGGATTTAGGGCTCACAGTTTTTGGGGGTCCAACCTCTAACAAAAAGAACACACGCATTTGGGTGTATCGTTTTTTGGAGGATACACATGTTTGTTGGCTTCAAAGGAACACCAAAGGGAAACCAACCATGCTTGGGGGTCAAACCTTTAAACAAACCATATCTACCACTACATGATCTTAGCAAAAACTTCAAGTCCAGGAGCTCAGGCAGGGAGAAGAAAACCATTTGGTTGGGTCCAACCCCCTCAACAAAAAACACCCCATTTGTGTTGTTTGAAATAGGAAAGCGCAAATAGAACAACCCGCCATTTGGCGGCAACCTGGAAAAAAAACACATTGGGGAATACTTCGTCTGTTCCACTAAAACGATCTTCCCAAAAACGGGGTTCAAGTCCAGCTCGCCATTTTGCGGCGGGGAGTCCAACCCAAAAAAAAACTTCGAACCACCGCCCTCGCCCCGCGCCCTCGCCCCGCCCCGCACCGCGCGCCGGACCCTCCACCCGTCCACCCGCGCCGCTCGACGCCCCTCGCCCTCAGCGCCTCTGCAGGAGGAAGTCCCTGAGCTTCCCGTGGGCCTGGGCGAGCTCCGCGGAGGCCACGAAGGTGACCTCGAACTGGTAGCCTCATGCGGCACCAAAAAGGAGACGAGCAAAACTCGGGTGTTCAGTGACCCTGGAGAAAAGAAAGGGAACTCTTTCGGGGGAAGACCATTTTTACTGGGGCCACCAAAAAGAAAGGGAAAACTAATTGGTGCCACTGAACAACTGAGAAAAAATGATGTAACTTGTTTGGTGTAGCAAAATTACTACACTTTGATCCTTCTTCGACGTCCTGTTTCGGGCCGTGTTTTTCTCGGCTACCTGAGGTCTTCGACAGCATTTCGGGGGGGGGGTCCACGTACCACGCGGTGATTCGAAGACGCTTCACTAAATCTGTTCATTGTGCGGGCTTGCGCAACTCAGTTTGTCAAAAACATTGGGGTGTTCGATTCCCCCCGGGTGCGCTTTCGCATCCTTAGCAGCTCCAGCGCATCGCCAGCATCACCTGCATCATCCGCATCAGCGCCTGCCAAGGATGCGGATGATGCAAGTGATGCTGGGGATGTTGCCTATGCTGGTGAACCCCCCCCCAGTTCCTTGTTGAGATCATTTATTTCCCCCCTTTTCCTTCTAAGGCCTTTTCCCACCCTCAGTTCTTCTCCCTTTTCCTCCCAAAGATCTTTCCCCCCCTTTCCTCCCTAAGTCCTTTTCCCTGAGTTCGTCTCCCTTTGCCTCCCTAAGATCTCTTCCCCCCTTTCCCGCTTAAGATCCTTGCCCCCGTTTCCCCCCTAAGGCCTTTTCCCCCCAAGATCTCCACCCTTCTCTTCCCAAAGTTTTTTTCTCTCTTTCCCGATTGAGATCCTGTCCCCCGATTGCCCCTTAGGGCCTGTTCCCCCCGAGAAAGATTTCCCTTTTCCTCCCAAAGATCTTTTCCCCCCTTTCCCCCTTAAGGCATTTTTTCCCCAGATCTTCTCCCTTTCCTCCCTAAGATCTTCCCCCCCCCCTTTCCTTCCTAAGATCCCTTTCCCCCTGAGGCCTTTCCCCCCCTGAGAGCTTCTCCTTCCTTAGATCTTTCCCCCCTGTCCCTGTTGGCCTTTTTTCCCCCAGATCTTCTCCCTTTCCTCCCTAAGATCTTTTCCACCCCTTTCCCTGTTGAGATCATTTCTCCCCTTTCCCCCCTAAGGCCTTTGCCCCCAGATCCTCTCCCTTCCTCCCTAAGATCTTTCCCCCCCTTTCCCTGCTCAGATCCTTTCCCCCCTTTCCCCCCTAAGGCCTTTCCCCCCCTGAGATCTTCTCCCTTTTCCTCCCTAAGATCTTTTGCCATTTTTCCCTGTTGAGATCCATCCCCCCTTTCCCCCCTAAGGCCCTTTCTCCCTCTGAGTTTTTCCCTTTTCCTCCCCACGATGTTTTCCCCCCTCTCCCTGTTGAGATCCTTTCCCTCCTTTCCCCCCTAAGGCCTTTTTTCCCCCTGCGATCTTCCCCCTTTTCCTTCCTAAGATCTTTTCCCCCCTTTCCTTGTTGAAATCCTTTCCCGCCCTTTCCCCCCTAAGGCGTTTTCCCCCCCAAGATCTTCTCCCTTTTCCTCCCTAAGATCCTTTGCCCCCTTTCCCTGTTGAGATCCTTTCCCCGCTTTCCCCCCTAAGGCCTTCCCCCCCCTGAGATCTTCTCCCTTGTCCTCCCCAAGATCTTTTCCCCCGAGATCTTCTCCCTTTTCCTCCCTAGGATCTTCTCCCACCTTTCCCTGTTGAGCTCCTTTCCCCCTTTTCCCCCTAAGGCCTTTTCAGATCTTCTCCCTTTTCCTCCCTAAGATCCTTTGCCCCCTGTCCCTGTTGAGATCCTTTCCCCCTTTCCCCCCTAAGGCCTTTTCCCTGCCTGGGACCTTCTCCCTTTTTCACTGAGATCTTTCCCCCCCTTTCCCTGTTGAGATCCTTTCCCCTCTTTCCCCCCTACGGCCTTTCCCCCCGCTGAGATCTTCTTCCTATTCCTCCTTAAGATCCTTTGCCCCCTTTCCCTGTTGAGATCCTTTCCCCCCTTCCCTTTAAGGCCTTTCCAGATCTTCAAGATTGTTTCCCCCCTTTCCCTGTTGAGATCCTTCCCACCCTTTCCCCCCTCAGGCCTTTCCCCCCCCTGAGAGCTTGTCCCTTTTCCTTCCTTAGGTCTTTCCCCCCTTTCCCTGTTGGCCTTTTTTCTCCCAGATCTTCTCCCTTTCCGCCCTAAGATCTTTTCCACCCCTTTCCCTGTTGAGATCATTTCTCCCCTTTCCCCCCTAAGGCCTTTGTCCCCAGATCTTCTCCCTTTCCTCCCTAAGATCTTCCCCCCCCCCCCCGCTGAGATCCTTTTCCCCCTTTCCCCCCTAAGGCCTTTCCCCCCCCTGAGAGCTTCTCCCTTTTCCTTCCTAAATCTTTTCCCCCCTTTCCCTGTTGGGCTTTCCCCCCTAAGTCCTTTTCTCCCAGATCTTCTCCCTGAAAGGGAGACGATCTGGGAGATCTTAGGGAGGCAAAGGGAGAAGATCTCAGGGGGGAAAAGGCCTTAGGGGGGAAAGGGGGGAAAGGATCTCAACAGGGAGAGGGGTGAAAACATCTTAGGGAGGAAAAGGGAAAAAAACAGAGGGAGAAAAGGCCTTCGGGCGGAAAGGGGGAATGGATCTCAACAAAGAAAGGGGGGCAAAAATCTCAGAGGGGAAGGGGGCAAGGGGACAATTCCAAAGGGACGCAAATAAGAAAGCAGGCCTGTAATGTCGGCGGCCTGAGCCGGAGGCACTAAAACAAATTGGGATAACTGCAGATATGTTTCGGCTCCTGGAGTCTCCATCACCCTGTGTACATGATTAATCATCACCCAAAAGAAAGGGGTCGTGGACACATTTTGAAAGGGTCAGAAGCAGACTCCAGATAGAGGAATGTTATGAGGTTTCATGATATCGATTCAATAACCTTAGATATGTTCAACCCACGTCAGCTAAGTAGGCTTGATCAAGATATAATTGGGGTAACTTGGGCTAGTTGGCTTACAATTGTGGGTATAAGCTACTAAGTGGGTTGAACATCCAAGTATCATGTGGAGCACATAAAGGATCGTTTACCTATTGATAAAATTAAACTTTGAGTTGAATACTGTTGCCCAAGGTTTAGAGGGGAGTCATATCATTCCAGGGTGTATTAGGTGGTGCAAGATTTTGTTCATCCACAGTACATCATACAACCCTCTCAACTCTAAAACACTGCAAGCTGCATGGCTTGGAAACATCGAACTTGCTGCTCAGATTTCAAGCTGGTGCCTGCTACTCCACATGCGGTTGTCTCAAAGTAGGGGGCTCCAAAAAGAAGGCGCCCTGTTGGTGTTTTATCAAAAAAGGTACCGGCAAAACAAGACAGACCCAGCTCACACCCAAATATCAGAGACCCTACCTGGAGTCTCCACGACCCTTACCATATGGTTAGTCAGTACCCAAAATAAAGAAATCGGTCAACTGACCAACCATTTTTTATACGGGTCAGATTCGGAGACTCAGGTACAAACAGACCCTCCCCGTTTACCTGGATTTCGCTTATTTGGGTTCCCAGCCGGGCCTCGGGCGTCCAACTTCTTGGGGCTTTGGGACGCAGCGATGGTAAAAACTCCGTCCAGGTGCGGTCAGGGTTTCCTCACTCACCAGCTATGCGCCTTTTGGTTGGTTTTTAAAGGGTTCCCTTGGTTACGAAGGGTTCCAGGAGTTGGCCTCTACCTGGACTTTTCGAGTCTGACCCAAATCAAAAATGGTTGGTACGTCATAACCCATTTCTTAATTTTGGGTAATGACCCCATTTTTGATTTGGGTCAGAAGGAGACTCCAGGTAGATTGGTCCAATCTCACTAGAGTAACAAGTTTGAGGTCACAAGCAAAAACCGATTTGTGTAGAAGACCGGTGATCATTTGGGACAGTGCTAGCCGAAACAGGTTTGGATATCCGCCCTTTTGATTCAATACCAGGTCGTCATCGTGCTTCACATGAGCAGCGCCCAACACCATTTGATACTGCACACGCAATAACTTGATTTCAAAGGCAACTACGAGTGTAATATTTTGCATAGAATCTACCATTGTTGCACCACCTTCCAGAAGATGTAGGGCTGCGTGCCAGTCAAAACCAGGATAAACAGAGAATCACCCAGGTTTTAAAGCAGACCATCGGAAAATATCGGAAACAAGGGACGAACGGGGCGGCACTCGCAAAATGTGGGTCGAACATGGAGCTGCCCGAGACTGAGGTTTTGGGATGTAGACTTGGTTCTCTATCCGCTTTAAACAAACAAATCCAAACGGAAACAAACAATGGCACCAAAGCGTCATGTTTAAACCAGCCAAAAGAGCAGAACATTCAGAATATTCAGAATATCCAGCTGCCGAGTGACCCTGCCAAAAGAAGGGAATGGACTTGACCCTTTTTGAAGCGGAAATTCCCACAACAACAAAAAAAAGGGGGTGCCACCCAGCACCTCCAAGGGTTGTCAATTGGTACCCAAAATGACTCACACAAGGGCACATCAAGTACAAATGGAACACCCTTGGTGCTGGACTGAACAGAGCCCAACAAGCAAGGCTAAAGCCCGGAAAACTCCATCGAGCTTGACCCGTCCAAGCTGCCATCAGCCATATCCGGGGCCCCGGCCATATCCGTGCGTCGCCTTTAACTGCGAGGCCGATCCCAAGCAAACGAGCTGGCCATTGACCATGATCCCAATTCCTCGGCGAGTCGGGTACCTGGAGTCTCCATGCTTAAAGGGGCATCCCTGCGGTTCAGTTGCCCCCATTAAAACAATGCGGGTTCATATAACCACCCAAATTTACCTAAGAATAGTCATCGTTTAAATTGAGTGAACCTTTGGTTTAATGGAGGTTGAACCCCAGGGTCATTGTACGTCAGGTAAGTGGTTTTGTAAGCCTGGTTATAACCCACAACAGCCATGGTTATAATAAGTCTCTTATGTGGGTTACAACCTAGCTTACTAACCACTTACTAAGTACCCGATACCCCCTTTGAATAACCCTTTTGGTCTTTCCAAACGCGCCAACTGTTGGGCCGAGGCCGGGTCCAACTACAAGGCAAAAACTGAAATTGCTACAAGACTTGGAGTCTCCATGACCCTTGAGTCACGCCCCCTTCATTTTGGGAAATGACCAACCATTGTTTAAGGGTCAAAGGGAGACTCCAGGTACAGTTGGGTGAATGTCGAATTCAATTCCAACCCAGTTTGGGCACTATGTGTATCCACATCAACGGGGAATGGAGGCATCAGTTTTCATCATGATTCCTTATATATTCCGAGTTTGCCATTTTGTTTGCGCATCCCCCCAAAAAAAACAGATAAAATAACATAAACAGAAAAATAAAATCACGATAACAAGCAAAAACACGCAACTCCGAGCCATTCCCCGAATTTTAAAAAAGAAGCAACACACAAAACACGGATCCTCTCGTTCGGGGTCTTCCATTTGGTATAGGACCCCTGGACAAAAAAAGGGTCTTAACCAAATGGAAGAACCCGAACCAGTGAGTTAGTTGGCCCCTTGGATCCCAGCGCATACGGTACCGCATTCTGTTCGAGGATCCGTGTTTTGTGTGTGTTTTCTTTCTTTTTTTCCCTTTCCTCCCTTGTTGGAAAGCATTTAACAAAAACAAGACCCCTTCCATTTGGTTAAGACTCCTAGTAGTGAGAAATTCACTTTAAAACCAACAAGGGAGAACAAACATAACATATGGAAGGGTTGCTGAAATGAAGGTCTCCATGCTAAGAAACAAGGCAAAGTTGCGGGACACACCTTTCTTAGAGTGTTTTTGTTTTGCCTGGATCCAAACTGTCCAAGAAGCAGCCCAAAACACTCTTTCTTGCAACATGGAGGCCTTTTTTGTTGAAATCGGGAAGTGTTCAGCTTGACTTCTTGTTCAAGTCGGCTGGCCGAACTTTATCAGAGTTTATGTAAAAACGAGACATGTTGGACCAAATGTAGAGAGTTTGCAATTTAGAGCTTCAAAGGAAACATGGCATACACTGCCGATTTTGCCCCCTTTTTGAGGGGGGAACAATGGTTTGACAAATGCTGAAACATACTGCATGTTACTGCATTTATCTGAGGAGCAGAACCATGTGTTTGACGCACTTTCTGGTTACCGGCTTGGCTCAGTGCGTGCTTGGTTCAAATCCCAGGGAAAAGGACAACAAACCCTTTGGAAGTTGAACGTTGTTTCAACAATTTTAATGGCAGTTGTTCTCCATTTGTGTTGTTTATTCGCATGCATAGGAAATTGTAGTCGGTTGAAGTTGAACTTGGATTGAACTTGAAATGCCATCCTAAACATAATGATTCTCCCTTTCAGAAGTGATGTTCAAATGATGTTGATATGAACCAAACTAGACAACCATCACGTGTTTTAGATGGGATTGCTTTCCATACTAAAAGTGATCTTGATCTTTAAAACAATAGAGTGTCAATGTAAATGGATTCGTAAATGTATAGAATACAAGTAGAATGCAAATGGAGCTGTGCAAGGACATGGAGCCCTTGTATTGCCTTTCCCCAAGTTGATTGCTGAGCTTCTTGGAAAATGATAGGAGTATAAGCGATGACAGAGCTGCTACAGGCACTCCGTTGAAGCTTGCAAAGTGTACATTGCATACTACTCTTGTAGTGAAAGGTTGCATAGCTTTGCACGAGCTGCCAAAAGTGCACTTTGCTTACTACATGTGTGCTGAACAAATGCAATGTTCGAGCTCTAAATATGGGAACTGCTTTACGAAAATGAAGTTGACTTATTCTCCAATTTGCGTGTGATTGACTTGAAAAGGAAGTAAGTTCTTGCAATATTGAACCGGGTGTCAGTATCTTGGACTTGGATTTGGAGACACCCAAATGGTCTGAAGTGTTTGCTATGTTGCTGACGCAACGCAGGTCGTAGTCTGGAGTGTCTGCTCTGACACTGACCAAATGTAGGTCTGGGGCGGGGCGGGGGGGGGGGGGGTAGTAGACATCTATTACATACATGTATACATATATATATATATGTATGTATGTAACTATGCGCACTGCAAATCTATATACATATATAAGATGTATGTGTAGGGGCTAAACAAGCCTTGTTAAACAAACAATGACGTAACGACCAAACTTGTAGCCAAACCAAAAGACCCTAATTTGTGGTTTGTGTACATATATACATAGTATGTACATGTACATAAATATTAAAACATCTTTATCTACATCCAAACATGCTGACAAACTATGTACATGTGTTTCTATTTATATACTGTTTATACCTGAGAACTCCGTCGGGCTAAAATAAACGCCGTTGTGATTTTGGACGGGAACTTCTGCCGCCGCAGCAAAAAAACGCCTTTGAATTCCAGAAACGCCGGCAGTTTGCAAGAAACGCCGTTGGCCCCTGGCTGATCCAAATCAGCTCAGGGCCTCGGCGCAAAGCAGTCTCAGAAGGTAACAACATGAAGCGCTGAACACAACACAAAACTGACTCTCGCCCCCTTGCAAGGCGGCTTTGGTCGATCTGTGACACCTGGATCACTCCTCAAGAAAGCGTTTGCGATCTCGAGTTCCGCCGTTGGGACGCGCGTTTCCGCCGTTGGGACGCGCGTTTCCGCCGTCGGGACGCGCGTTTCCGCCGTCGGGACGTAGGTTTCCGCCGGTGCAAGTCAACACATTTGGCGGCAAAGCTCGATGGGTATTCCAACAGGTCGCACCGAGTTTCACCAACCCACAAAGCCTAGCACAAAACCTGGCAAAGTTGCATAGTCGCGGTCAGGTGCGCAGATCTTGCAAAGCGGCCCACGTCAGGCAAAATGCCCACAAACCGCAAAAACGCCGTCGCAGATTGAAAAACGCCGCCACAACCAGCTCCCCATCAAGTTCCGCCGCTGGACGGCAAAAGGCGCCTTTTCGAGTCTCAGGCTGAAATTTTCGCCTTTTGGAGTTTATAGGTATGTGTTTGTATAACTATACGCAGTTTGTTCATGCGCCTGATGCCCTTTTGTTGTATCCATATCCCTCTACTATTTTTGGGCTCGTCAGCAAGCACAGGGCGCCAGCCTCCTCAAAAGGCCTCGGCTGTTCGTCTTCCGGCGAGGCGCGGTTGCAGAGGGCCTCGCATTCCTCCATGGAGTGCGTGGTCAGCACCACGGCGCGGCCCACCATGGTGCCGCTGATCAGCTTCCACATGAACCGCCTGCGCCGTTTGGCCGTTTGGTCGTTTGTCGTTCGCGAGCGGAGTCGGTGGCTAGAAGGGGCCTCGGTGGAATTGGCTTGGAGGAGCCTCGCAGACTTCCATGATGGGAAAGGGGGGTTAGTTTTGATGTGGTTTGGTGGTTGGTGGGGTGGCTCCTCTTACTTTGATATAGACTTGAAGTGGGTTTAGTTCTGGTTAGGGTTGGCTTGAAGTGGGTTTGGGAAGGGTTTTGGGTGCTTTCCAAAGCATCCCGAAATTGCGTTCTGATCTTAAATAATCTTCATCCACAGAAAATCATACATCCAGGTTCTGTTCCATGTTCAGTCCACCTTAAGCTTCAAATTTGTTTTGGAGAAACCTCGGTTGCTTTCTGCTGCCCTGCTCAAAGTGACTAACCTTTAGTGGTTTAATACGGAAAACCCAAATTCGTTGGCAAAAAGTCAAAGTCCTAACATGCAAGCAAAATGCACCAAAGAAACCCCCAATAAGTTGATACCGTTGAACGGCAACGACTCCACGGTGTCTGACCGTGATACCTGAACACGGTCCAACAAATGGGTTTATTGGGCTTGTGCCGAGTGACACGGGTTTGCTTTCCAAACCTTTTCATGTGAGCAAAGAACTGTTTTGTTTCTTTTTTTTGCAGCAACTCACTACTTAGATGTTCCAAAGCAGGTTACAACCACGGGTAGAACTGCCGTAACTGGGGTTAGTTGGCTTGTAACCATGCTTATAACCTACTTACTAGCTAGGCTGAACCTCCAAGTAACAAAGAACAGAACCAGCAACAAAGAGGTACACACATGCCAACACCAGTAAAGCGCCTAGCAACCAACACCAATAGCTTTGGTGGGATTTTTAAGCGAACTTCCTGGAGAACAAAGTGAACATTTCCAAGAACAGGAGAGTAAAGCGTTCAAACCTTCAAGCCAACAAGTTGTCAAACCTCCAAGAATAGAACACACACGCCAACAACAAATCATAATTAATCCCTTTTTCTTGCTGATAAGAACCCCCCCTCCATTCTCCATTTTCTGGGGCCTCTAAAGCTATCATCCCTGTTTCCTCTAGGCTTGGTTTTTCCAAGAAGCGCGAGGCTTTGTGGCAGAATTCTGCAAAGGGGGTAGAGCGTCTGGGAGGTTTGGAGGGGGGGATTTGGTCCTCACTTCCTGAGTGGATTGGCCTCACGCAAGGTCCAAACCTTTTACATTGGCCGCCAAAATGGCCCCAACCCAAAAAGTAAAAAAAAATCAGGGAGGGAACTTCCATGCTTTAAGCTCCCTGGCTTAGGAAGCCAGACAAACACATATGCCCAGTGATAAGCTCCCTCTAAAAACCAGCAAGGGAAAAGAACAACAAGAAAAAACACAGGTTGCCCGTAGCGATCAATTCCCTTTGAGGGAAAAAACTGAAACATGCTCTGAACGTAGGTGGCCTTTTCGAAAAATAGATGGCCACAATAAATGGCATAAACCTCATCTAAACCAGTGGAACCCATCTAATGTGAACGAAACTAACCTAAAAAGGACACCTATGGCTCTGAAGCAAATCGTTTGGCCAGTAAAAAGAGGCTCGGGTGGATTTGGTTCCACGCCTGGACTCGGGATCTACCCCCGTGGTGGGCTCGTCCAGGAAGACGCAGCGGGGGTCGCCCACCAACGACAGGCCCAGCGAGAGCTTGCGCCTGGTCCCTGGCCAAGGACATGAGCACCGGTTTTGTTTTGCATGGATCTAAGTTTAATAAAGCACCCTCAACCAACCAAAGTTGAAACTCACTTCAATTGGCTCCAACAAGTTGATGTGAACAGGGATCCGGATGCAGTGAATACACCGATCGAACATTGCAACTGGTCAATGATTAGTGGTTTCCAACCTTCTGTGGTGTTGAAAAAGCAACCTTGATCTTCCAGGACCCTGAAAAAGCAGGCCTTTGGCTGATTTTCCATTTTCAACCAAGAGCAAAATCAAGAAGGACCCTGTTTTTGCGGGCCCTTGGAAGACCAAGGCAACATGTTTCAACTGGTGTCAAAATGAATTTCTTTTAAGGAGCCCTGATGAGCCGGCGGCGACAAATCAAATCCGCGAGCGAGGCTCGCCAGGGATGAAACCCGTGGCTCGAAGCCTCTTGGTTACGGTATTTGCAGGGGAATCGACTCATTCCGTTGGGTTTCTTGGTTCAGGATTTCGTCCATCCACAGTATGACATGCTTGAACAAAGAAGGTTGGTTGGTATATTTGTAGCTCCCGGAACAGGCTTCAGGGGCAAAGCAGTGAAAAAACCGGCCAAACAGAGGGGCGCACCGCAGTGAACCAACTTCCGGGCGGCCCGGCTTCTTCCCAATGGAAATTGGTGCTCCCGCTCACCTTGCTTTCTTTGTCCAAGCAGACAGGTCTTAATGTCTCTTAGATCTTCGGATCTTCGCCCGTGCGCGCTCCAAACCTCAAAACTGGCCTTCTCGGGTTCGCTTCGCTTAGAATCCAACTCGAGGGGTTTTCTTCGGGCTGAGCCAGGAATCGCCTTCTATGTTCGACAGAAAGGACACCGTTCTGGGTGTGAATGTTGAGAGCTGCTTCAGGGCTTGCTGAATGGGATAAAGACAATCCACACCCGTGGAATCCATCGATTTCTATAAGAGTTGGAACCTGTGACATCAGCCCAAATGTTGTTCACCCATCTCCAAAGTGGACATGTTCACCCCCCAAAACTTCAAACCTGCGCCCATGGGACTACCACTTACTTTAACCGACCCCCTTTGGGAGTTTGGGCCAAGCCCAGGGATACAAATTGCCAGTCACCAATCCAAACCCCAGGGGTACATGCTCGCGATGGAAAAAATATACATGGAGCCTCAAACCCCGGAATTCCAACCCCGAAACGTTTGGGTACTAACCAGTTTGTTCGGAGAATTGTGAGGAGGGTCCAGGTTAAAACCTTCGGACTGAAAAGTGTGCTAAACATGACCACCAAATGGTGGTTTGAAGAGACACCAATGTCATTTGGGAAGCCCTCAAAATGTGACAATCCACCCCTGGTACCAAGTCTTCTGTGGGTCATGGCCGTGCCCTTAATAGGAACCATCACACTGGTTCTTAAGTGGATGACCGTCCCTGCTAACCCTAAGTGAAGGTGTCCTTTTTGACCCTGGTACCCCCTCGTAAATGATTCTGGCTTCCTGTCCTATTGCCGCGAAGGAATGTCACCAGGTGAGAAGTGAAGCGTTTACCTACAGGCGGTCCCATTCCGAAACTTTCCTTGGAAATTGCTCTTTGATAAGGTTCTTGTCGGGAGTTCAGTGGCTTCACTCTAGAAGCTTCCCCGATCCTTCTCAGGAAACCCTCAAAACCCATGGGGTCAGAACGCAGTTTGTATGAAACGAACGATCGCTCCAGTTTTCGGGTCTTGGTGACCTACTTACCACTTGCGGTTTAGCCTCATTTGGCCTCATTTGGATGTGGCTCAAAATTCAACAGGTGGGGCAAACCGCAGGTTTTGGTCCATGTTTCCACTTACCAGGGTTGATTTTGGTTCCGGATTTTGTTTATGCCACAGCCATTTGGGCGTGTCTTCTTTAGACCCCTAGATTCATGCGAAGTCCTCCCCGCAGCTACACCAAAACCCGCCGGCCATGAGCCCCATCTGGAACAGGAATAGGCCACGCTTGCTTATGGTTCATGGAACTAGGTCCTCCAGATTTGAGAGGTTAGAAAAAGGCTACCCGATTTTGTCTGTAGTTTATTTTAGTAACCCTCCCAACCAAAAAAGGGGTGAGAAAGGACACCTAACTGGGGGACCTACGTAGTGGAAGAACTAAAAACAAAACATCCAGTGACTCCAGTGGTGACAGGCTCCCTTCAAAGAAAGAAGCGGGGGAAAAACAAACTGAAGCAAATGAAAGCTTGGGGCATGGGTCGCATCTGGAATCATTGGTTTTATCACCTCCTACACTATAAGCAAAAAACACACACATCCGAAACGTCGGCGCACCTCCAGAGAAGGACATAGCTTGCTTGTCCGCGTAGGGCCGCAAAGTCAACTGGTCCAGCAGGGAATCCACCTAAGCGCTATGAGTACTGACAGCATTTAAGGCATGAACCGATATGTATGTCAAACCAAGCAGGGATCCGTAGATGTTTCCTTGTCACCACCACCAAAATCAATTCTCACTTGACAAGCGTCAAAATTGCTTACATCACCCAAAAGGAGAAACCTAAGGATGCCTGTCCGGGACCCGATCGGGCATGGCAAGCGATGCCCATTGCTCATATGAGCCACGGCAGATTTATTTGCTACATGGTTAAACGGTCGGGTTCCCAACCCACCTCGTTCTCCGACCCTGCACCCGTTTGGGGTCATTAACGCCGCACTTCTTTGTAGTATCAACCACCTACATGTCATGGCCGTACCTCGTTTTGAATGTGCTCCTACCGCGTTTTGCACCTAATGCAGTATGTTGCCCAACAAACGTGCCCGCCCGGCCCATGCTGTACTCTGCTCACTGTCAGGCGTATTGTTTCAACTCTTGCCTTATTTGCGGCGTTCCTTGATTTTCTCTTTCGAGCAGCACAGAGCTAAGTGATTCCCTGAGTGTCACCCATCGAAAGAATCACAAAGGCCCTGTGAATGGTTAGGGGTAGCGTGAACGTAAGGCAAGATGAGCTTGAGTGGAAGCACTGGGCTGGGTTGACATTACCCATGTAACATGTGTCACTCGGCACAGACCCAACGAGCCCATTTGTTGGACCGTTTCCAGGTATCAAAGTCAAAAACTGGGAAAACAAAAAGCATAGTTCCTGTGGTGAAATCGATTCCCTTTAAAACAAATAGATAAATTAAAGCATATTCTCAAGCAAATGGAAGTTGCTCATGTCCACGATGTCGCCCAAGCCTTGGTTGGGAAACCCCAAGCCGATCTCCTCAAGCGAAGCGAGCCGCATACCTGTGGAGCTCTGTCTCCGGCATGCCCTTGATCCGCGCGAAGAGCCTCGGGATACTATCCATGGGCCAAATCCGCGAGTCTCGCACCTCCGACATGGGAATGAAATTTATAGGGGAAACAAATCATTCCGTTGGGTTTCTTAGGAGGTGCCAAATGGAATTCGTTCACAGTAGGTGTCCTTTTGCTTCAAGTTTGTAGGATCTCCCGGGCTGTCGATATTGCGGATATTGTTGATACTATTTTTGAGGGGTGAACATATG